GTGTAGCAGGATACAAAAAAAAAAAAAAAAAAAAAAAAAAACTCCAATACATCATCTTCTTCACTTAAAATAACTGGAGTTTCACTGCCTGGAACTATAACACCAGTGTGTTGGTGCTGGGAACTTGTAAGGAGATCAGAGACCAACCAGTCTGGTCAGGCACTGCTCCTTCAGCACAGCACCTGCCACTCGTGCAAGGTCCCCACCAAAGCTCCTCCACCCAGAAGTGGCTGGATTTTCTTGCTTGCTCTGATATAACCCGGAGTCCTGCATGTGCCTTCCTTCAATGAGTAAATGTACTCCTCAATCACTACAAGACTTATTTTTATACTACAGCCTCCATAGTTCCACACAGTACAGACAACTGCTCTGCTATTTAGAAGCCCCAGACTCCAGATTAAGCAAAATGAAGAACTGACTTTTTCTTTCCAACTTCACCCATCAGGACTGTACTATTTATTTAGTGCTCAGTACTTAATTTTGCAATTCAAAGAAAGAGTAACATTCATAGCACAATCTTCCTAAACAAAATAAATAGGATTTTTTTTTTGTTTGTTTTTGTTTTTGTTTTGTGAAACCGGGGATTGAACTCAGGCCCTTCTGCTTGCCAGGCAAGCGCTTATTCTACTGAGCCATCTCTCCAGCCCCTTACTTTAATTCTACAAACTGGACACTTTCCTCACACATCTGGGACACACAGAAATGTGCTGTTCAGGTGTCTCTTGAAGGACTGCCCCAGGCTAAAGCCATGGTGGCCAGGTGGCTGGTGGTGGCCTCAGGTTGGTGGCCAGCAGGCTGATCTCAGCTCTCCTGACAAGAGCATGCAAATCCGATGTAACCCTGGCTAGTGAGCCCACAGGGCGGGGCAGAGGTCTACAATGCAGACAGCGCCCCACTGCTGCAGGGAGGAGCTCCCTCCAGGATCCTTGGGCTGGGCTGGCTGCACCCCTTCCCTCTCCTGGGATGACCGCCATTCACCCTTCTGTGCGTCCCCTACGACTCTGCCTCTGCTCTAGAGCCGCACCTGTGACACAAGCACAGCCGTGTTTCCTCCTATCCTGCGCGAGTCCCTCAGCCTCTGTCAGGTTGCCATGCTTCGGTTTCTGGTCTCTAAAACCCCCTTACAGGTACAGTAGTTCTGGTTCCTCACACAAACACTGCACCCTTAATAGCAACATCTCTACATATTGATTTTATATTTTATATTGTCAATTGCATACTTTAAATATTATGGATTTTCAATATATTTCACTGTACTGAGTAAAAACACAGTATATTCAGCTATAAAGAAAGATAAAACTTGAGGCTTTGGGTGAATGGATGCAGTGAGACCATACTCCTAAGTGAAATAAATCAGACCTACATGTGTAAACATCACATTGTCTTCCTAGTGCAAGAACCCAAAAGAGTAAATAAAATCTGAAAGATACAATAGATATTGTGAAAGGGAAAGAATCTGATCAAAGGGAAGAAACAACTGGGATGAGGGAAAGGAGAAAAGGGGGGAAATGTACATACAAGATAGCTTGTATAATTGTACAGATTTCTGCTGCCCTAGTGAAAGGAGAAGTTAATGCTTTTTTTCTCTCTCTCCTTTATAGGAGAGCATGCTTATCCCTGGTAATCTGAACAACTAATTGACGACAACAACTTGCAATATAAAAACCACTGTTCAATTCCTATCGTTTTGTTTAGTGAAATTCTGTATCATTTTTTTAATTTTTTTTTACTATTTTTTATTCTTTAAA